TCGAACCCTCAATAAAGAGGTTAGAGTTATCGATAAAAACGTAGACAGAATTGTCTGGAGAACTTGCTACAAGAAAATAGATTCCCTTCATAAATATAATAAAACCAGGTTGACAAAGCAACAAAGATTATAAAAGGTAAACCATATAGTGTTCACTGATTTTGTTACCCACTTACCAGTAACGGGTTGCTCTACGATAACGCGAAGGTGTTTTTTGGGCGGGTTTGACGATAAGGAGCAGGAAAAAAGCACAAGAATAAGTAAGTATTCGGTATTATTGGTAAATTTGACAGAAACGAGAGTTTAAGCCACACTATCTTTCGATAAAACCTGTGAGAGAACATACCAGGCAAAAAAGTCCTAAGATAGGCAAGTTTATCCTTATCCGTATCAAAATGACTAAGGTCTGAGAATGCATCAGATTGCTGATCTTTATGTTTAGTGAAGTAGGAAAGTAAACTAGCTTTCTCCTCTTGAGTTTCGGCGAGACGAGCAATTTCCGTTTTAATGTTTGCCGTAGAACTGGAAGCGTAATCTGACATAATTATTTTGGATGGTAATGCAATAGCACAATTTAAGGAAGAAAATGAAAAATTGATTGTCGCACAGATTGATCAGTTTTATAAGTTACGCAACTAGGGATGGGAAATTAACCGTTAATTAAATTGACCGTTAATTAAAAAAAATTTATTTAAAAGTTATTAAATGGACTTTATTATATATATAAGTCAAGCCGTAAATAAATGTTAATATAATTTTTTTTTTTTTAATATACAAATAAATAGTTAACCATAAAATAAATATAGCTTGAAAACACAATATATATTAAGAATAGCGTTACGTAAATGAATTCTCAACAAAAGTAAATGGCATTCCAGCTGAATATAATGCCTGTACTAGTAAAAATTCAAGAGACTCTTGTTCTTCTTTTATGCTATCAACAAAATTATCCAACTTAATTTGTTTTTTAGGTCTATTTGTTACATGAAAAGGTGTATTTGTATGAGTTGGAGGTTGTTCTGTGGTTGGGATATAATATTTTGTGTTGGAATAGATTTAGTATTACTTGGTACATTTAAACACTTATTATTAAGATAAGCTTGCATTCTTAATGGTCAGGTGATATAGGCCCTTTGCAATAGAAAGGGGGAAACGGCTGAAAAATTAAAAAATGAACCAATGAGAACATTTAATATAATGTGGCTAGAGGAACATTTTTGGTATATTAAAGTAGGACAGGTTACATAATAAAATTTTTAAATAATTCAAATAATTCATAAAAAACTGCATATCTATTTATAGATTTAAAACTACCTAATTCATGAGTTGATGTATAATCATGTGACTCATAATTTAAGATTATTTATAGTTTTGCGAATCTCTAAAAGATTTCGCAAAGAAATTTGCAATTCTCTAAGAGTTACGCAGATAATTGCAAATTTCTAAGAGATTTCGCAAAAAAATTTGCGATTCTCTAAGAGTTTCGCAGATAAAGGCGAATCTCTAAGAGATTTCGCAAAAAATTTGCGATTCTCTAAGAGTTTCGCAGATAATAGCAAATCTCTAAGAGATTTCGCAAAAAAATTTGCGATTCTCTAAGAGTTTCGCAGATAATTGCAAATCTCTAAGAGATTTCGCAAAAAAATTGCGATTCTCTAAGAGTTTCGCAGATAAAGGCTAATCTCTAAGAGATTTCGCAAAGAAATTTGCGATTCTCTAAGAGTTTCGCAGATAAAGGCGAATCTTTAAGAGATTTCGCAAAGAAATTTGCAATTCTCTAAGAGTTTTGCAGATAAGGCAAATCTTTAAGAAATTTCGCAAAAAATTTGCGATTCTCTAAGAGTTTCGCAGATAAAGGCTAATCTCTAAGAGATTTCGCAAAAAATTTGCAATTCTCTAAGAGTTTCGCAGATAAAGGCGAATCTTTAAGAGATTTTGCAAAGAAATTTGCGATTCTCTAAGAGTTTCGCAGATAAAGGCACAATATTTTTTTGAGAGTTTCGAAATTTTTGTAGTCCGCAGCTTTCCGCAGTAATTATAATTTCAATTAAGAAATTCATTTATGTACTAATTGTTCTATAGGAATTTTCTTATTTTGGAATTTCATTTATTAAATATTGTATTTTTTCTTTATTTTAAAAAAATTGCGATTAAATAATTTAAATAATATTAATATATCTTGATAAATAAATACTTTAAAAAAATTTAAAAGTATTCTTCAATAAAATAACAACATGTCTCAACCATCCCATACATTATTTAATAACATTTTTTCTGAAATTCATGCTGCATTCAATTTATTACAACAGGATTTAGAGAATTTAAATCAACTTCAAGTTATGTATTTATCAAATGAAAATGAAAATTTACCTCATAATATGAATAAAGATAATGAAAATGAAGATGATGATAAATTTGATGAACTTAATGAACTTAATGAACTTAATGAACAGCAAGCATTACATGATTTTGATGAATTAATTTTCTCACTTGAACAAGTTAACAAATTTTATCAAATTTATCAGCAAACTAAATTTGCAGAAGTTGATGATAATAATAAATATGATGAACATCAAAATCTTAAGAATATTTAAATAAATTTGATGAAGAAGCTCAAAAGCAAAAATTACAAATTACAGAATGTTGTCAAAAAAAATGTCTTCAAACAAAAATTGATCATGATGATGCTATTATGAGGTATCAAAATTTTAATCAATTAACTAATAATGAAAAAAACATGTCCTTTAAAGGAATTCTTGCAACAACAAATAGAGGGAATATTACAATAAAAGGACAAAAACAAAAAAAACTTGTTAATGAATATTCATTTGAAGGAATAAAAATTTGTACTTCAGCATTTTTAGTAATTTACAGTATTGGATCTAAAAAGTGGGAGAATATAAGAAAACATTATATTCAAAATGATATTAATCCACAAAAGCATAAATTAGAAGGATGTTTAAGTAATCATTCAATTTCATTTGAAGATGTTTTAGAAATATTAACATTTATAATGAATTATGCTAATTCACATAGTTTACCTTCTTCTGGTACATTAAATTTTATTTGAAATTAAATTTATCTTAATTTTTTATTAAATCTAATTTATTTTTAAGGACGTCATTTTAAAAAAGAAACATTACCGATTATATTTCTTCCTGCTGGAGAAAGTTATTCTTCTTTATATCGAATATTTGAAAAAGTAATTGAAACAAATAAGAATAAAAAATCCGTACATTTAACAACCTTTTGGCATATATGGCATAAATATATTCCAGAAATAAAATTTTTATCACCACATAGTGATTTATGCTTTTTATGTAAATCTATGAGATTTAATACAAAATATTGGCCAGAACAAGATATAGAAAAGAAAGTTACTGAATGGCAACAACATATTTCTTGGGCTCAAAAAGAACGTGATTATTATAAGTAAATTATTAATTTATTATTATACATATATTATTATTTTTATTTATTTTATTAACTTAATTTTTTATTAAATTATAGAATATGTATAGAAAATTCAAAATTAATGTTAAAAAATTATAAAGATTTTTTAATTTTATGACCTGGTATTCCTAATTCAATTAATTTAATTAATCATATTTCTTGGGATTTTGTGGAACAAATAAAATTACCATATTCTTCTCAACAAGAAGTATGTTAAATTAATTTTATTTTTATTTTTAATTTAAATTATATTTATTAATATAAAATAAATCTTTATAGGGTACTACATATTTTAAATCACTTTATTCTGTTCAAGTTTTTGGAATTTATAAAGATGCTTTTCCTAGACAAGTATATATTAAATTATATATTTATTTTAAATTATTTAATAATATTAATATATATTTATTTAAGTTAATTATTTAATTAAAGAAGAGAAAATGTTGGTAAAGGAGCTGATATAGTAATTTCTTTAGTAAATAATTATTTTGAAATTCATAGATTAGGTGAAAAAAAAGTTATTATTTATGCAGATAATTGTGCTGGTCAGAATAAAAATAATGCTATGATTATGTATCTAGTATAGCGAGTAATAAATAATCTTCATGAAGAAATAACATATTCTTTTATGGTTGCAGAACATACAAAATTTAGTCCTGATGGTTTTTTTGGATTATTTAAATTAAAATTACGAAAAGCTGAAGTTGATGATTTAGATGATTTAATACAAGTTTTAAAAGATTCAACAGTTGGTAAGTATAATTTAGCACAGACAGTTTTTGATAAAGAAGAAAAAAGAATTGTCTTTTTTTATGCATAGACAGAATTTTTAAATAATTATTTTAGGACTATACCAGGTATTCTTAAACAACATCATTTTGTTTTTAGTAAAGATAAAATTGGTAGTGTAGAGATTAGAGAAATAGTAGATGGAGAAAGATGTTTAATAGATATTAGAAAAACTAAAATAATGTCAACAGGATTTCTATATGAAATAATATCAAATAGACTTAGTATTGAAAGACAATGGTATTTATATGAACAAGTTCGTATTCATATTCAAGATCCAGATAAACAAGATGATCTTTATCCTAAACCAATGATTCCAAAACCAAAACCAAAAAAAGAAAAATTAATTTTAATATTTTTAATTTCATTAAATATTCTTATTTATTATAATTTGATTTTATTAATTATAAACTTAAAATAACATGATTATTAATTTTTTTTTTTTTTTAAAAAGATATAACTTTAAATAATAAATAATAATAATAATAATAAATAATTCAATCAAAATAAATAAAACTTAAATTATTACAAATAATAAAGATAATTAAAAACATCATTTATTAATTTTTTATTTTACTATTAAATAAATGAATTAATTATTATTACATAAGTAAAATTGCTTAAATTATATTAATTAAAAAACTTAAAAAAATAAATAAAAAAAATAAATAAAATACTTATAAATAATGAATTTTTATTTTTAAAATAGAAAAAAAAAGATAATTTTAATTAAGATAACAAAAAAAAATAAAAAAAATAAAAAATAAATTTTATTTTATCCAATAGTTATTTTTAAGAAAAAAGAAACAAAAGCATTATATTCTTAAAACAATAATAAAAATATCAAGAAGCTAAAATCCAAGTTAAGAATAATCACAAAAAAAATAAGAAACATTAATAATATTCCTCAAAAAAAAATAAAAAAAAACTTACCATTTTAACAAATGAAATCTAGAATTGCCACTAAAAAAAAGGGAACCCTCCACCTTTTTAAAATTTAAGACTACCACTTATTGTAACCGTAAAATAACCCATGAAAATATTTTAACAATAATTAATTAGCATTTTTTTTTTAATTTATTTTAGTTTTATAAATTTATTTTTGTAATTAAATATTAATTTAAATTTATTAAATTTAATATGTTGTATACCACTAGAATAAAATTTCTAAAATAAATAAAAAAAAGTTTTCACTTACCATGCCGAACCCTGCACAAATCCAAGACTACCGCTAAAGAAAAAAAAAAGGAACATTAATAAAGTTCCTAAAACAAAAAATAATAAAAAACAAGTTCACTCA